CAACTGCTTTTGCTCACTTTCACCCTGTAATCCATCCATACGTTCACATGTATACTCCCCAAAACATAACTATACATGCCCTCATGCTTCCATAAAAAACTTCGCATGAGTCCTCCGATCCAAACAAAAAAGAAACTTACTTGTAAAATTGGTGTCCGAGTCCAAAGTTCCGCCATAATACAGCCTGCGCCCCACATATCGATTTGTGGACCGTAATGGCGTTCACCTAACAATAATTCCGGAGGTCGGTACCACAACGTTACAACACGATTCGTATAACAGTGCTCTGGTTGACCTGAAATAAACTATTCATTCCGAACCGCTCGACATTAATTTCATACATGACTGATACCGAAACGATTCCACACTGATCATCCCTTTACGAATTTAAACTCTTTCATATATTCTTCACAAACAACGTTGGAAGCTCTGAGCACATGAACGAAACTTCAAAAAATGCACTGAACGAACCTGGAAGTCTTGTGAATAACGGCCTTGCCAAACCGAAATCAGCTAATTTCAGAATTCCATCTCTGGTTATTAACACGTTTGCGGCCTGCAATTGAAAATTATTCCGCATCAGAACAAAGTAAGACAAATCACTGATCACGGATCAATCATTAACCACTAATTACCTCTGATCAGAAATCCTGAACATGCTGTTAAAAGCCTCTTTAACCTCAAAATGCTCAAACACAACAACAACAATATCGAATGTGAGAATATACATCAATACAGCTCACAGCTTCAATAACACCTATGAAATAAAAGCTAACAGTAAGCAAAAAGAAGTGTATGATCAAAAGTGAATAACTTTCCAAGAACTAACTTTCATATCACGATGCAGGATTTTTGCGTAATGTATTTGATATAAACCCTCGAGGAGATGTTTCATCAACGTTTTGATATGTACTAATGATAGGCGAACACGTGTGTTTGATAAGAGTCCGGCCAGATCGTGCTCACAAAACGAAAATACCAAATAGAAGGTGCTACGTTCACGATTGTGTGATGAAGCTGAAACTCATGAATGACATTCAGTCAAATCAACTAAAAGATTAAAAGCTAAACGAATTGGTGAACGTCTCTTCAATCAACTCACTCACCTCGACTGCTGCAGATTTCGATGAGCTCGGTTATGTGTTTATGCTTCAATTTCTGCAACATCTTCACCTCTCGTAGGGCGGTTATTGGAAACTGAAATTTAAAAAAAATTAAAGACAAAATTCAGAATTGAATGAAAAAACATTGAAATGTTGATTACTTGGAATCAGAAGAGGATATCGCCTAAAAGAAATAAAAAAAACATACTCCTTCCTTTTCGTTTTCCATGAGGATTTTTTTCAACGCCACCAATTGACCATTTTTGCGACATTTTGCTTTAAATACTTCGCTGAAATAACACAAAACAATCGTCTTATGCCAACATCTAACTCTTTGGTATGTAGCCTCAAAATCAACACTTTATATTTGGATTTCAGAGTACGCACAGAAAGAATTCGTTCTTTCTAACAGCTGTCGAGCAACTCAAGTTATGCAAGATATAAGTTTTACAAAATCCACTCACCCGAACGTTCCTTGTCCAATTTTAGCGATTTTCTCATAATTGCTCACGTCGTTAATGAATGGGAATTTGAACGTTTCGATGTAGTTGATCAATTCAGGTGTCACCTGAACAACGTTTTGTGATTATGTTTGCATGAATAGGGCAAAGCAAAGACTGCAAAGCAAAAACTCACGAAAGTCAACGCAGAATTAACAGCAAACAATAAAAACAGCAAAAACCGAACAAAAAAAGGGAATTTCAAACCTTCTGGCGATTCATCAGTTCCAATTCCTCTTTTGTTGGTGGCCGAATGTTCGACTGGGATGAAGACTGTGGTGCTTGCGCAAATCCACCTGATGGATTCTGAGCTGATGCGCGAGAGCTACCACTAACGTGGCTCGGATTTTGCATTTCGAACCTTTTGGTTGGCTACATCACATATTTTGTAAGGCTCATTCATATATGATTGACTACCAATTCGACGCTTTCCGAATGCTTTTCATTTTCCAAAATTCCGAAATTTCAGAAAATAAAACGACACCGGTGAAAAGGATTGAGAGATAATATCATCATGGATGGGATCTGGCTTTGCCTAAGTTTCACACAGCTTGGGAAACCCACAGGAACCGTAAAATAAAAGAAATGATTTGAAGAAAGCGAATGAGACAGGCATTCTGAAATATGTTTCCATTGACAACAGTTTTATTAGAGTGGTCGACTCGTGGCCGAAAAAACAAACGCTAGGGTAACTTCAGATCTGCTTGGAGCTTAAACATTCCCCTGCAAAAAGAGCCTGAAAAACTCCAGAACCTAATGAAATCCCCAGAAATAAAAAAAAATGTTTATCTCCATTATGATCACATCATGAAATTGGACAAAAGCACGTAGTGCCAACGATCACGCATAGGCAATCGCCACAAAGGGAAAACAATGAAGGATCGGTGATATCGAACCCATAATAAGTGTTTCAAACTCAGAATTGAGAAATTTTCCATCAATGAGATATGTGATTGATGAAAAACAAACAGCACATCTTGACGGATACGAATGAAAGCATGAGTCTGCTCTGAACATCTAAGGACCTGAACATAGCATATGCGACAATCGTAGTTAATAGCATGGTAACAAGGAATATCAAGTAGTCATTTTTAGATGTCTAC